TGCAATAAAGATCCAACTGGAGTGTCTGTTACAACTGATGGACATGGACCGCTACAGACACATCTTTGCCACCCGGCATCCATAGCTTACACTAGAGTTCACTCTGGATGTTGTACACGCTAAAAGTTTGGACAATGGAAGTGGCATGTATGCACCATTTCACGTCATACACAGTCATCCCACTGATCTAAATCTCCTGTGCACCACACACTCACCCTCCTTCCCCACTCACTCCTGTCAGTCTCCAGTCATTTTTTAACCGTCTCCATAGTTTTGTCTTTCCCAGAATGTCATAGGGCTGGACATACAGTACATGGTATGTAGGCTTTTCAGACTGACTTCTTCCATTTCATAATATTAGTTTATTATTAATTTAATTTAATATTAATTTAAATTTCCTCCGTGTCTTTTGGTGGCTTGATGGTTCATTTTATTTTGACATCGACTCTTATCCACAGTCTGGATGTGGGCAAAGATTTCGAAGAAGGCATTGAACTAAATTTAGTGCAAGTTTTATTGCTATCGTATCTTCTTTGTACTGCATAGGGTTAGGACTGAGGTGGGGGCTCCCCTCTGCCTCAGAGCACAAAAGGCCCAAATGAGCTCAAACTTGTTAGTTCTGCACATTGAGCCATTGAGGCTCTGCCCTCAGAATTCCATTTTCAGAGTGAGAATATGGTATGTTATGTTATGGTTTGGTATGGTATAGTATGGTGTGGTATGGTATGGTATGGTATGGTGAGTATGATATGGTGGGTATGGTGGGTATGGTATGGTATGGTGGGTATGGTATAGAGGGTATGGTATGGTGGGTATGGTGTGATATGGTTTGGTATGGTATGGTGGGTATGGTATGATATGGTGGGTATGGTATGGTGGGTATGGTTTGGTATGGTATGGTATGGTGGGTATGGTATAGAGGGTATGGTATGGTGGGTATGGTGTGATATGGTTTGGTATGGTATGGTATGGTGGGTATGGTATGATATGGTATGGTGGGTATGGTATAGAGGGCATCGTATGGTGGATATGGTATGGTATGTTATGGTATGGTATAGTATGGTGGGTATGGTATGGTGGATATAGTATGGTGGGTATGGTATGGTGGGTATGTTATGGTATGGTGTGGTATGGTATGGTATGGTACGGTATGATATGGTATGATATGTTATGGTGGGTATGGTATGGTGGGTATGTTATGATATGGTATGGTATGGTGGGTATGGTATGGTGGGTATGTT